GTGCTGGGCTGTTCAGTGCCGTGCCGTGCTGGGCTGTGCCGTGCTGAGCCATCTCATGCCAACAAAGCACCCGGCCAAGGGCAGGAGTCCCCCAAGCCCAGCTCACTGCAGCAGGGACTGGAGCTGCCCAGGGCCCGTGGGGGGGGACAGAGCCCCCCAGCCCCAGCAGCTGCAGGCCTGGGGGTGTGCAGGGTGTGACCTGAGCTCGGCCAGAAGGTGCATCCGGGGAGCTGCGGGACAGCCCGTTCCTCAGCCAAAGCCTTCCGAGGGCTGTGCACAGTCATACCCAGAGTCCTCCTCAGCCCGCTGCCCTCCCCTCGCCCCTGGGCAGTGCTTCCTGGCCTCTCTCAGGTGCCGGAGGAAGCACAGGACACAGCTTGGCTCTCCCTGTGCTCCCGGAGCCTCTCTGGCCCAGCAGCCCGAGTGGGGAGTCTCCCAGAGCCATCTTGAGCCCCACGCTGGTCCCTGGGCGGGCAGTCCTGCCACGGCACCGTCCTCCTCCTCCTTACCCACTCCCTGGAAGCAGCAGGAGCACTTCCCTGCCCCGGCTGACGTGGATGTACCTCAGGAACATCTGGCTGCTCCTTTTACCCGTGCTGGTTTTAGCATCTCGTTTCAACTTCGACATCTCATAGTGAAAACCTGAGACTTCCTGCTTTTGGGGTGTGAGCTGCTGAGTCGAGGGCAGCCCCTCTCGGACTGAGGGATGCTCAGGATCTCCCAGGCCCCTCTGACTCAGCTGGGGACTGGGTGCCTGCAGGGAAGGGAGTTAAAACGAAAGCAGGCTAGCTTTCCCCGTCAGCAGATCCTGTGAGCTTTCTATGAGACACAGCATCCACAGCTGCCATTCCCTGAGGGTTTCCCACAGCACAGGAGGGCCCTTGTGCCACGGGCCCCATGCCAGGATAGCTCACAGGGAGAGTCTGGTGTCCTCCCGTCCCTCCTCGCCCCACGTGTGACACACAGAGAAATGAAAGTACCTACACGACAGCTCTGAGAGAAGGAAAAGCCTAGAACAGATGCAGGCGACTGCTGGTGGCCTTACCCTGCGTCCATGCTGCTTTCCCTGGCCCGGGGCAGCTTCAGGAAGAAGCCAGGCCTTTCCCTCCAGCAGAGAAAGCACCTCTGCACCGCCCCGGCTGTGTGGTCATCACGGGTGACACCAGCTCTAACCACGTGGCTGCTCTCGTTCTCAAAAGGAAAGAAATCTGACTGTTTTAAGGGCGTTTTGGAAGTTCCCTTTCTCTTTCAAAGCACAACCTGCACATGCAAAGCCAGGCCAGCTTCTCACATCTGAGCTCTAAACTCCAGAGTACAAAGGGAAGCTGCGGCGGTCGGTGTTGTTAAGGCACATCCCTCTGCTGGGATCCCAGCTCATCCTGGGAAAGCACCTCTGCAGCAAGACTGACAGCCTGGCACAGGGCATCTGGGATGGTAAAGAATCACAAAAGACTTACAAATAGGGTTCCCCAAAATTGGCACGGTGCTGATGTAATTCCATCTGAAAGGAGGTGCCATTTAGAGCCCCATTGCACAATGAATGGTGGAGACATTCCCGTTCAGGGAAGGTGGGAAACCACGGTGATGGTGAGACCCAGCAGAAGGAAAAGACACCCTGTGGGAAGAAGTGGGAGCCCTGTGGCACAGCTAAATTAAAGGTGAACTGGGAAGAGCCTTAGAGCCTCATGTTCAGCTCCCTGCCCCTTTCAGCCCCCCAGTTTGGAGGCTGTTCCCGCTCTGTGCTAACTGTGTCCGCTCCCTGCTGTCACCAGCTTCCCACACCAAAGGAAAGACCTGGAATATCACTTCTGCCAGCAAGAGTTCTGCAGTCAGACCCCACCGAGAGGATTTATCACCTCCCGAGACCTCAAACTGCTTATTAAAGTGAAGATCTCCTTGTCCAGGGAAGGGCAGCAAGGAATTCTCCATCCCTTCTGCCCTGAGGCTGCAGGGAGGTGGCAGGAGATGCTTGGCATGACTGGCATAGCTCGGGAGGGACCTGCACCGGATTTATTGCAGGTTTCTAGAGGAAGAGGGACCAAAACGTGCAAAGCCAGGGGCTGGTGATGGGATGCAAGGCTGCAGGTGGGATTTGCCAGTGTTCACGGGGAGAGCTGCTCTCCCTGCACCTCCACGAGCCGGCTCCAGCGATTGCTGGGTTGCTGCTTCCCTCTGTTGCTAGTCAGGGCATTGCAGGGAAACTGCACACGAGAAAAGAGGCCAGGAGCAGGGAGAGAAAGCCTGAGAACAGGTGATCACCACCTCCCCTCGCCCTGGGACTCAGCCCATGGCAGGGCTGCCACCCCCGGCATTGCTGGACCCGGCTGGGTCGCAGTGGAACCAGTTCCTCCTGTGCATGCCCCTTCCCTGTGAACTGCCACTGAAGTAATTTCCAAAGATTAGTATGGAAAAGCTCAGTGTACTCAATTTTCCACACTGCTGTGGCTTTGGCTATATCTGAAATGCCAAGTTAGCCCCAGGCCAGCTGAAGCAGCTCTTTCCCCCCAAGCCCGAGAGACAGTGGGAGAAGGAAAAACACACCCCAAGGTCCCAAGAGCCACCCCAAAGTGGGAGAACCCTGGAGAAGCAGAGCTGATGAACCTCTGTATATCCAACCGCAGTTCACTCACGGTTCGTGTTCTGACCGCAGACCCCAATATATTCTTAGAATGATTATAAACCCAACTTCCTTCTTTCAGCACTGTGAGGAAAGTGAAGGGGTCTCACAGCACTGCCTGGCTGCTGAGTTTCTGCACTCTCTAGAGGGAGCATCTTTGATCTCACCATGAACTTTAAAGCTCGGGGTGAGCCCCTAGAAATGCCCAGTGCTATTGATAACAAATTCACTGCTGTGTTGCCACTCCAGCCCAGGATGAAACGTGATGGCATTTTGCAGCCACCTTAAAGGGAGATAAATGCCCAAACTCTGTATAACAGGGCTATGAGTAATTCCTAAGGACTCTTTGCCCATCCTGAGAGAGGAGGACTTCTGAGAGCCATTGCTACCTCTTATACTCCAAGCTTGATGGCTTGGGAACCGGTCCTGGACCTTCTCTCCTCTGCACAACGAGACCCATTGGGCTTATCCAGCCCACAGCAAACAACTCAATATTTGCAAAATGCTGCCAGTCTCAGGATGCCAGTGCTGCCCCGTGCTATTGTTAGTTTGTCCAGGATTATTAAATCCACACCTGCAAAATGAGGTTTGTAAAAGCAATGAAGAGCGAGTGAGTGAGCTTTCCCACAGCACACTTGAATCTCAGGAGCCCTCCTTGGGGTGCAGCAGGTTATTAACTATTTACTTTCCAAGGAGAAGGCAGGCTGGACAGAAATCCTCTCTGGATGGAGTCACTGACAGGCAGCTCGTGGCAGGGCAGGAGGCTGAGGCAGCCGCTCTCTCTCTCTCCCTGGCAGCCTCATGGCTGTGCAGGGACCTGGCTGTGGCAGCCAGCCCCTGCATCCCACCGGGATCCAGCCCCTCCGCTGCTTCTCCCACTCAAGGCTGGGCCGTCTTTACTCCAATCTCAGGCACTCGGGAGCAAACTTTCCAAGACACTTCAACACTGTGTAACAAGCCCACGAAGCCAAGTGGCCGCGAATCACCTTCCAGGCACGTTATCGAGTGCTCCGGAGAGGGTCGTGCGGAGAAACTCGCACACGCGAATAGCAAGGGGTTTCCTTTTGTAGGTTTTTTCCTCCTACCTGCGTTTCGAGTTCCCCCGGAGGTGTCCCGCAGACAGGAGTGGCCTGGGATAGAGGATCTATGTTATTTACTGCACTACGATCTAGTAGCGTCCCGGTCGCCTAGGCAATGACATTGGAGCTGCTGAAAGCTGTGTGAAAAGTGAGGCGAAAGCTCGTGCGCTCCTTCCTGGAACAGGAGGCAGTTGCAAGGGGGTGGGGAATGCTCAGCCGAGCGTGCCGGGGAATTAAGCTGGTCACCAGTGCCAGAGCGACTCCAGGGCAGGGAGCGCCTCGCCCGAGGCGGCTGCGGGGGTTTAATCGGAGCGCTTGGGTTGGAAGGGACCTTAAAGCTCGTTTTGTTCCACGGGCAGGGACACCGCAGGTGGTGGCGGCAGGGCGGCTGTCGCGTCTGTCCCTCTGCCACGGGCCAGAAAACTGCTGCGTTTAACCCACCTCAAATACACCGGAGTGCCTGTAACTGGTTTTTGGAACCCAAATAATCCGCAGTGAAAACAAGACGCGAGCGTTTCTCTGATCGGGAGGTTTATTTTTAGATGATGGTGGCTGTGGTCCCTGAGCAGGAGGGTGGGTCGCACCCGGACCGTGCTGTCACTGGGACGGGAGCCGGGCTGCTGCCACCCGAAAATGCTGGGGTTCGGAGCGGAGGGGCGAGGGCAGCCGTGTGTTCCCCCGGGAAGGGACGCGTGGGATCCGGAGCGTGTTGGGGACACGCGTCCCTGTCACCGCCCCCGTCCCCCCTCGGGCTGTTTCCCAAGGGAATATGTCCCGCGGGAGGGGTTATCTGGCTTCTGCCCCTTCGCTGGTGTGTCTGTATGTTTGTAGGTACTTATTTATTTATTTGTCTGTTTGTTGATTGATGGATTCCAGTCCATTCACATCCTTTCTCTGGGGCACCTCTATTGCAATTGTCAGTTTCTCTGTCCTGCCCGGGGAACCCGGCGGGGACGTCCCGCCTGTGCTCCTGTCACTTGTCGGTAATTAGCCGGGAGGGCTGATTAGCCGGAAGGGGCGATTAATTACCCAGGGCACTCCCGGGCGCGGGATACTGCCCGCGGAAAGGCGCCATATGACAGGGGGCGGCTCTCTGAGGATGGGGAGCTCCGCCAACCCCGGAGGGGACGGAGGAGGGGGAACACCCCCCTCGGCTCATTAAGCGCCTCATTAACGTCTCATTTGCATATCAATGACCTCCCGAGGCGCGTTCCCGTCGCAGGGCGCCCCCTGCCGGCCCGGCGCGGGCACCGCACCCCCCCGGCGCGCGGCGGCCCCGCCCCTTCCGGCGGGGAGAGCAGCGGGGCGGGCCCAGCGCGGCGGGTTCGAATCCCGGCGCCGCCGCCCCCGCCATGAACTTCTCGGAGCTGTTCGAGCTCTCGGGGCTCCTGGGCCGCTTCTCCCCCGACGGGAAGTGCCTGGTGAGTACCGGCCGCGGGCAGCGGGGCCGCTCCGCCCGGGCCGGGCCGGGGCGGTTGGCGGAGCCCCCGAGCGGCCGCGGCGCGGGGCCCCCGGGCCGGGCCGGACACGGAGCGGCGGAGCCCCGGAGGCCGCGGGTGCGAGCCCTGAGCGGGGCGGCGAGGGTCTGTAACGGAGGCCTGGCTGAGGCTAAACGAACCTTAGGTAAATTAATTGGTGCTTTAATTAGTACCTGAAGGGAGCCGCAGGAAGGATGGAAAGGGACTTTCTGCAAGGGCCTGGAGGGACAGGACAGGGGGCAATGGCTTCAAAGTGCCGCAGGGCAGGGTTAGAGGGGATAGTGCGGGAAAATTCCTCTCTGAGAGGGTGGGGAGGCCCTGGCACAGGTTGCCCAGAGAAGCTGTGGCTGCCCCATCCCTGGAAGTGCCCAAGGCCAGGTTGGACGGGGCTTGGAGCACCCTGGGCTGGTGGAAGGTGTCCCTGCCTGTGGCAGGGATGGGACTGGATGGGCTTTAAGGTCCCTTCCAACCCAAACCGTTCTTGGATTCTACGAAATAAAATAAGTTATAAGATAAAGAGTCGTTTTGCAAGAGCAGACTTACTTAGCCAGGAGTGATTGAATGAATGAGGATTCTATTTATTACTGTAACCTCCTTCCCTCCTGGTTTAGCTGTTCTCATTGTAGTTTGCAGTGAGCTCAGCGCACACAGAATAGAATTACAGAATCACAGAATGGTTTGGGCTGGAAGGGACCTTCAAGATCACCCAGTGCCAGGAATGAGGCAGCCACAGCTTCTCTGGACAGCCTGTGCCAGGGCCTCCCCACCCCAGGGAGGAATTTTTTCTTGAAAACGTGACTCTGACCCTCTCTGAACTTACACCCTGGATGGCAGTGAGCTGGGCAGTGGCAGCCTGGCAGGGACAGTCCCAGTGCTCCAGCCCAGGATGCTCCCCTGCTCAGCCCTGTTCCTGTCCCGCTCAGGCCTCGTGTGTCCAGCACCGCTTGGTGGTCCGGGATGTGAGTTCCCTCCAGGTCTGCCAGCTCTACACCTGCCTGGATAAGATCCAGTACATCGAGTGGTCATCGGACTCCCTGTTCATCCTGTGTGCCATGTACAAGCGAGGGATTGTCCAGGTGAGGACAAAAGCAGGAGAGAATCTGTTTCCTGGTGGGAATTTGGGTGTGCTGGGAGTGAGAGCTTAATAGCCAGCACTAGTCTGAAGGTCTGCTGAAGTTCCTGATGTTGATAATGCAGTTTGAGGATAACCCAGCATGCCAGGATTTTTAAAGCCATAACAAACATCTTACTTTGAAAAAGAATATTTAGAATAAAAATATTTAATAAAACAAATCAAAGCTGGAGATTATCGTACCAGTTTCTTACTGCAGTAGAAAATAAATAACATGCAGACTTGTTGAACAGTCTAAAACTGTTTTTTAAGTATTGAATATTCAGAATATTTGTCACAGAAAAACCAACCCCACCTCATTTGCCACTTCCATTATCACCCAGAGGGGTGGGACTCACTTTTGCAGTGGGATCCAGCGCCAGTCCTTCATGGCCACGGGCGGTCAGGGGCTCCTGGGCTGCCTGGAATGGGGTGCAGCAGCGTGTTCTCAGCTGTAGGGAATTCCCCTGAGCAGAGGGGTCGATGAGCTGTTGTTCCCTGCACTGTCTGGTTGCCCCCTGCCCCAGGTCTGGTCCCTGGAGCAGCCGGACTGGCACTGTAAGATCGACGAGGGCTCGGCGGGATTGGTGGCTTCCTGCTGGAGTCCGGACGGGCGTCACATCCTCAACACCACCGAGTTCCATGTGAGTGTCAAGTCAGGATTGCTCTCCACGGTGTCAGATGTTGCTGTCTGCCCTTTGCCTCCTAAAATAACCCAGAGCTCTTAAAGCTGCAGTGGTGGTGGAGAACACGAGTGCAGCTCTGTGTTCCCGTGTGTAACCCAGGTTAATTCCGGGGTGGATGTTTGTTGTTCCATTAACACTTTATTCTCTTGCTTCTGGTGATAAGATAGAAAATGGACTCTCAAATTTGAAGGTAAAATTATGTGTTTGAGAACATATTCTGATAATTTTGATATTTTTATGGCATTCATCAAATTTAGAATTTTAGAAATCCAATATGTTGTTTGCAGGATTTCTAGCAAAAAAACCCCAAACAACAAACCCAAGCCATATTTGTTTGAGTGATATGTAATTAAAAAATACAGGCTTAGGTTTATTGACCTGTGAGATGAGATTTAGATCCAGGTCTTGGAAATACTTTCCCAGTTGTTTGATTTGATACACAGGAGTCAGACTACTGATGGAACCAGTTGGAAAATTAAAATTAAAACACCTCTAAGTGCTTATTAAGAGCCATGTTGGGGAATGCACACTATGGTAGAATCCAGGTTGGAAGGCCTGTGGTTTCTGACTGGTCCACCTTTGGATTAGAGCTGATGAGTCAGTACAATAACGAAGGGTCAGAAAATAGCCAAGAACTACATATGAGAGCTACATTTCTCCTTGTGTTTACTCTTTTCAAACCTTTGGCTGGGTTTTAGGTGGCAGGGTTTTGTGCCATGGTCCTGGCTAGCACTGAATTCCCATGCTGCATTGCAAGATTTCTTCCTTCTTTTTTTTTGGGCAAACCCCAGTGTCAGGGGGGTACAGACAGGGACTGTGTGTGTGTGCAGACCCACCCCTTTAGACTGTGGAGTACGAGGAGTGATGAGTTTAGGCCTTGGTTTTCCCGGACGTGAATTACTCTGATGGCAATTAAAATTAAAAAGTGAGCCCAGAGTTGCACCCTGGAGGCAGTGCAGCCATCCCTGCTGGCCAGGCAGCAGTGGAGGAGTCAGGACACTGCAGGCGGGTACTCTGTGCTCCCAGGGAGTATCTCCTGGCACGTGTGTGTGGGGGTGGCCCAGCAAGGATTTATTGCCTCCCAACAGAACTTGCTTTGACCTTAGAGGATTTCATTAAGCCTTTGCCAAGTTGGCATCTGTGTTGGGATAAGTTTCCTCTCCAGCTGTAAACAGGTTGCTAAATTAGCTGTTGTCAGACAGCTGCCTGGGCCCGGCCGCGCTCCGAGCTGTGTTTACTCCCTCTGCTAAATCCACAGTCTGGGGGGACAGACGTGGGCAGTGCTGGGGGCAAACTGTGAGGATATTTAATATCAGCATGTTATCAAATCCAGTGATTGCCTGGGGGATTTGGGGGTTCCCCACCAGCCAGCTCAGCTCAACTTTGGCCTCCTGGCACTTTCAGACAGCACCAACTAATCACTCATGTAATGCTTCAAGTCAGTGTGTGAGCTCCACTGAAAGCTCAGAAGTTACTTTCTTATTCCCTGAAATTTTTTTTTTTAAGGGATGTGTTTGTACTTATTAATTTCTAGCAGTCTGTACTTACCAGTGCCTCAGAAAAATCATTACAGAATCCCAGAATAGCCCTCTGGAGATCATCCAGTCCAACCCCCTGCAAAGGCAGGGTCATCTGGAGCAGGTGACACAGGAATGTGTCCAGGTGGGTTGGGAATGGCTCTAGAGAGGGAAACTCCATGCCCTCCCTAGGCTCCTGTTCCAGTGCTCCATGGAAAGAAATTCTTCCTTGTGTTGAGGTGGAACTTGCTGTCATTTATGTCATTTATGGCTATCACTCCTTGTCCTGTTGCTGGGCACTACTGAACAGAGTCTGGAACCAGCTTTTGACACCCACTTTTGGGATTCAACTAACTTGCAGTCAGTCTTTTTGTGGTCTGCATTTCTCTCCTAAGATCCACTCTGGGAGGCAGTGTCCTGTGGAAGATATCGAACCAGTGCCGTTGTTCCTCCAGAATTTAGAGGCATAGGTGACAGGTGAAAGATCTGGAGAAAGCAAGTGGATCCTCTTCATGTCCCTGGAGATGTTTAAGGCCAGGTTGGACAGGACTTGGAACAACCTGGTCAAGAGGAAGATGTCAGTGGAACTGGATGATCTTGAAGCTCCCTTCCAACCCAAACCATTCCAGGATTCTGTGCTTCCTCATGACCCTTGTGTTTTGGGATAAATGGTGTGAAGATGTTCTGGAGTCCTTCTCTGAAGAGCTGTGCTTATAAACTACATACACTGTACTTTCTCTCCTTCCACGTTAGGTCCTTAAGCATTAAGGAGCTTCTCTGGAACTCCAGCAGCAGGGAGAAGTGTGTGTTTTTGTGTGTATCCGGGCTAATCCTTAGTAACTGTGAGTGGCTGCGTTGGCTGAAAAATGCTTTCTGGCGAGGAATGTGCTCCGAATAATCTTCTGAAATCCAGTGCTGACAGACACTGCTATGTAAGGGGCCGAGTGACCCAGTCAAGTCTGGGACAAGAGTTGACAGTCATTTGAGCTGTAGGTTGTTTAAAAGTGTGTTTTTGTCTGCTGAAAATCACCAGTCCTACACCTGCCTGGAGCTGTCAACATCGGGCCGTAGTCCTGGACCCGGCGCTGGACACTGTTTATCACGTTACCATCCAAATACTTTTTATTTCTCAGCTGTTTTTAGGCTATTTTAAAAATGCTTCTGCTTTTGGTTTGTTTTTCCACTGCAAAACAACAGCTGAAAACTTCTCAGACACCATTATCGTGAGGATTTGAGTTTGACAGCTCCCCTCAGTCGAGTCATCGATGCTGGACAGAAAGTATCCCCCAAAAGGAGCAGTGGAGAAGGGCTTGCTGCAGAATTAATGGACCATGGTCTGTTCTCCTGCTACAAAGGCAATTGTCCCTTCCCCCCAAATTCCATGAGAAAGGCAACAAGCAGCAATGCAAATTTCCTGTCATTTTTGAAAAGTTTTGTTTCTCTGTGTTTGATGTTTCCGTCTTTCCTGATCCTTTCTGTGAGCTGTGACATAATCTTTCTAATCTTCTTCATCTAATTTATGTTGGCAACTTGGGTGAGATTGTGGAATAATGTTCTAGGTGGGAGTATGCAGGTTTTCCCTTTCTGTCACAATTTAATTGTAAACACACTGTTAATCCAGGTAAGGGGGTGTGAAATCCATGCATTAAGCACATAATGTGAGATTCTCAGTTTGTGGGAACGTCTTGAGTGTGCACAAATGGAACAACAGAAAAGGATCCTGATTGCAGGAGTCAAAATGGTTTGGTTTTGAACGTTTCTTACACTGGGCCAAACCCTCAGGTTGGGTGAGTTGGGTGAGAGGTTACAGAGGGTTGGGGCAGAGTGGGTCCATGGGCTCTGACTTGCAGGAGTCATTTGAGCCTGCAGCCCTGGCAGGAGAGAGGGAGCGAAGCTGAACAGGCAGCAAGCAACAGGGCAAGAGGAAACGGCCTCAAGCTGTGGCAGGGGAGGTTCAGGTTGGACACCAGGAGGAATTTCCTCCTGGAAGGGGTGGTCAGACCTAGGAAGGGGCTGCCCAGGGAGGTGGTGGAGTCCCCACCCCTGGAGATGTCCAGGGAAGGACTGGACGTGGCACTCAGTGCTCTGGGCTGGGGACATTGGGCACAGGTTGGACTTTGAGGCCTTTTCCAACCCAAATGATTCAGTGGCTCCATGGTGGAGCAGAGATGGATGCAGAAAGACTTCAAAAGGAGGGTGTAATTGCCTTTTCCTTGCGGTGGAGCCTCGGGCAGGGCAGAGGTGACAGTGGGGGCTCAGCGTGGGATGTGCTGTGTCTCACCTCCAGACATTTCCCTCTTCCTGTGCACTTGAGATCCACGTGAGCAGCAAGGTTTTGCCTCCTGAGGCTCAGAGCAGCCAAGGTGGTCCAGGATGGCCAGGGGAGCTGATCGTGAGGCCAAGTGGCAGCACAAGTGTAAACTCGGATGCCTTTGTCAGGAGAAATGACGATCCAGCCCTCAGCATTCGAAGCCTGCAGCTGCTAAGCTTGTATTAAGTGGCTGGGGAATGTGTGCTGTGTGTTTTGCTCGGGGGAGGCAGAGCAGCCAGTGCATTTAGGGCTGCAATTAATAGTCCCCAGCAGCATTTCAGCACTGCAGTTGCTGCAGGAGAATGTGTGGAGGCATCGTGTTGGTATTTTTAAAGTAAACCTTGCAGAGGAGCAGTCTGACAACGCTGGGCTCCTGTGGCCGGAAGTGAGGGGTGCAGGGATAAAACCTGATTAATGCCCTTCATCTCGTGGATTCCTCCAGGACCTGCTACACTTGTAGGGGGGATTCTGCCCCTCTGCCCTGCTCAGGTGAGACCCCACTGCAGAGCTGCCTCCAGTTCTGGGGAACAGCACAGCAAGGACATGGAGCTGCTGGAGCGAGTCCAGAGGAGGCCCCAGGATGATCAAAGGGATGGAGCAGCTCTGCTGGGAGGAAAAAGCTGAGAGAATTGGGATTGTTCAGCCTGGAGAAGAGAAGACTCCAGAGTGACCTAATTGTGGCCTTCCAGTGCCTGAAGGGAGCCCACAAGAAAGATGGAGAGAGACTTTGGACAAGGGCCTGGAGAGACAGGACAAGGGGGAATGGCTTCAAACTGACAGAGAGTAGGTTTGGATTGGATATTAGGAAAAAAATCTTCTTTACTGCAAAAAGCTCTACCTGCAACTCTTCTGGAATCTTACCTCAGTGCAGTAAAACGTAGAAAAACACAAGGGAAAAGCTGTCTGTGGTCTCTGCAGCTCCAAATGCAAAGGTTCCTGTGCCATCCTGAGTGTCCCTGGGTCTGGGCCTGCCGTTGCCAAGGGAGAGGGAGTATTTGTTTTTAACTGGATAATGTGCAGATGGCAGGGCCGAGCCTGGGGTGCAGCTGTGACCTTGGGGAGCTGTGGGGAGGCTGGGTCTGCAGCTGCCTGCCCTTTGCAGCTCCAGAAATCCCCTGAACACCAGTGTCATGCCTTGCTTGGCAGGGCAGGTTTGGGGTGTTTTCTAAATTTTCAGTAATTCTGTAACATTGCCTCCTTGTGTATGGCTGAGGAGGGAAGTGCAAAATGCAAATCTCCACGTTGGTGGTGTGAATTTTGTGCACCCCTCTAGAGTATTCAGTGTGGTGCAATGTAAATTTGGGGTAAATACCCTGCTATCTGCAGGGGGCTGGGAGAGAACTCCTCACCCACATTGAGCCATACTGAGTAGCCACAGAGTTTAATTAACCACAGAAGGTTCATTGATCTACTTTGTGTTGCTGAACTAGGCTGATGTTTTTCTATTTGCTTAATTCTTTTTTTTTTATCTACAAAAATAACCCAAAGTGCTCCCTGTCTCTCTGCCAGCTGCGGATAACGGTGTGGTCCTTGTGCACCAAGTCTGTGTCCTACATCAAGTACCCCAAAGCGTGTCAGCAGGGTGAGTGTCACACATCTACCCAGCAATGGCCTTTTAATGTGGTAGACAGGAAAAAATGAATTTAGTGTGAAGGCATAAAATTAAGCTGGATGTGCTGTGGTGGAAAAACATTAATCCAAAGTGGCCTTTCTCATCTTTTGCACGTGGAAGGGTTGGAAAGGGAAGCTCGTGCCAGGGCTGTCAGGCCACATGGCTGTGGAGAGCAGTTTCCTGCCTGAGGGTTGTGTCCCACAGATGACAAAGACAATTATGTATTCCAGATAAAATTGTAGTGGATGGGAAGCAATGCCTGAGAGTTGGTGGAGAACTGATGGTTGCATAACTGATCCATTTAGCCAGGCTAAATGAAGTGGTTACTTGAAATCTGTGGGGTTTATATAACAACTGTCAGTGATCAGATGTGTTTTGAAGCTCTGCATCCTGAGAAATTGTACATTCCAAGCTCAAAAATTGCTGACACAAGCGAATCAGTAACACTGTGCTTTGCCTTGATTAATGTGACCTTCTGCGAAGAGATTCTTTCTGCTCTTTCGTTTCTGCTTTGAATTGGGAGTAACTGTTCCTCACTGAAGACTCATCAGCCGTCCTGCCTTGTTGTCTCTCTTCTGTTTAACACAGTTTTAATGAACTCTGTCCCCTGGCAGGGGTGGTTTTCACCAAGGACGGGCGTTACATGGCCGTGGCAGAGCGCCGCGACTGCAAGGACTTCATCAGCATCTTCGTGTGCAGCAACTGGCAGCTCCTCAGGGTAAGCTCTGCCCTCTCCTCCCACTGCTACATGTGCTGTAACATTACTACAGTAGTAATAGTGAGAGTAGCAAGTGCTAGATACTCAGAATGTGTGATATAAACTGTTCACTCGTGAGATCAGTCCGGGAAGGGTGGCACTGCTGTGGGGAACTGGGTGGATCTGAGCAATTAAACCAAGCAGGAACTTGTCTATGTGCAGTGTCACCTGTGGCTCAGGAATTCTGAGGCTCACTAGAAGCTGATAGAAAAATTTGGGAACTATCACTAAGTGCTTGTTGTGTTCCTGAGCTCTTCCCTAATAATCTTTGTTGTGGAGGTTGTGGCTGCCCCATCCTTGGAAGTGTTCAATGCCAGGTTGGACAGGGCTTGGAGCAACCTGTTCTAGTGGAAGGTGTCCCTGCCCATGGCAGGGGGATGGAACAAAATGAACTTTAAGGTCCCTTCCAGCTCATACCATTCTGGGGTTCTATGATCCTGTACCAGACTTTGAGACAAGGAATTCTACCTGGATTTCTTGACTGTTTCAGTGTAACTAATTTAATTTTCTTATGAAATGCTGTTCATTTGAAGGTATAGAAACTTTTGCCCTTTCTATAAAGGGAAGCAAATATTACAAAAGGAAATATTTCTGTTTCTACTCTGGCATGCAAAAGGCTCTTTTGCATTTGTGGTAGCCCTTGAAAGTATAAAACTGAACATTCTGTCAGGATTCGTTGACATAATATTTCAAATGGGTTTGTGGTTTCTCTTTTGGGAGCAGCATTTTGACACTGAAACACAGGATCTGTTTGGGATTGAGTGGGCTCCTAATGGCTGTGTGCTGGCAGCGTGGGACTCATGCCTGGAGGTAGGAAAAAAGCAGATAATTTTCTTGAGAGAGTTCAGCTGGTCTTTAGGCATCATGGAGAAAGCAGTAACTAAAAAAACCTGGTGTTTAAAATGTTTCTTTTAAACATAAAATGGTTTGAGTTCAGCTTTTGTTTAATATTGTACTTATATTTGGGATGGATGCCCTTGCAAGTGGGTGTCACCGTTCTGTAAATCTTCAATGACAGCAAATTCTTTCTAATTTATCTTGCAAAAAATAATTGATTGTAGACATTTCAGAAGGTGCTATTGAAATAATGAAATAATAATGGAAGAATCCTCTGTGAGAGTCTTCTGCAGCTTCACTGATATTGCACTGCACAGTGATTTTACAGTTATAAAACTACTCATCCAAAAAGTGAGCCATGAAGCCTGGAGCCTGCTAACTCGTAGATAAGAGACCATGACCTCTGTATTTAACTTGCTGCATTTTAAACAGAGAGAGTTTGGGAGGAGTGCTTTGCCTGCCTTTGGTTTCTGACACTCGTGCTGGTGTTCAGAGTGCCTGTCTGTGTTGCAGTACAAGCTCCTGCTGTACTCCCTCGATGGCAGACTGCTCTCCTCCTACCGCGCCTACGAGTGGCCTCTGGGCATCAAGTCGGTTGCCTGGAGCCCCAGCAGCCAGTTCCTGGCAATTGGCAGCTTTGATGAGAAGGTGAGAAATAGGTTTGTTTTCTCCCTCTTTTTTCTAAACCATTTGTAGAGCCCTGTCCTGACAGTCTGCTCTTGCAATGCTTCCTGAGCCAGGTGCGTATCTTGAACCACGTGACGTGGAAGAAGATCACAGAGTTTGAGCATCCAGCAACCATTGCCAGCAAAAAGACTGTAAGTACAGATCCAAAATCCATGGGGTTGTTAGCAGAGCTTTGGTGCTGCTGTTTGTATCTGAAAGATGCTGACAAATGCATTTAATTTTGGAGACCTTGATTTCCCCCCCCCAACACCTAATTAGGGCTTGGGAAATTGCATGAAAACTTGGGAATGTAAGAAAAATGGGTGGATCCTTTCAAATTTGATGGGATATGTGTCTGTGATCTTCTCCTTAGCACTAAGAGATTCTCAGATGCTCTTGTCATATGCCAGTGTATTTGGTGTAGATGGTGGCTGCATTACAGATTTGGGTGTGCAGCCCATGGGAAGGAGGAGGGATTTGTCTCAGCTTTATACAGTTCCTGACTTTGATCACAGTCCAGTTCCAGTGATGTTTAGAGGCACATCCTGTGTGGACAGGCTCATCCAGCTCACCTAAAGAGCATTTCCTGGAACATCTGTCAGCGTTGATTTTATCCTTTATACCTGTACCTGCAAGGCCTGACAGATTCTGGGTCGTTGGCAGCAGGCACAGAGCTTTAGTCTTGTTCCAAAAATCCCAGGCTGATCTCATCCACAGAGGTAACCAGAACAGTGTGTAGAGTTGTTTGCCACTGTAGGAGGGACTGCACAGGTCTCCTGGCAGAGTCTGTGTGTGGACTGTAACTCTGCAGTGGTCACACGACTCTGCTCATGTCCCTTAACCAGAAGAAAGGCACGAGCCATTAAAGCACCTCAGCAAAGCTTCTCATGGCTGAGAAATGCTTTTACTTCCAGTTAGGTGTAAAATATGTCATGGAAAACAAATGGAAATAGCTCTGTTAATCTCCACTACACAGGCAGGAATTGCAGTTGGTGCTTTTTAGCCTGGTGCTTGTGTTTGGGAATATGTTGTAGGCATGCTGAAATATTTTTGCTATTTCCTTCTGCAATGCTGCACTTGGTTTGAGTTTATTTATGATAGAATCAGATTAAAGATTCTTGGCTGCAAAAATGAAATCCATGTTCCCACTGTAACGAGGATGATTTATTTTCCAGTCAGGAATAATGAATGAGGGGCACTGTGGCAGATTCATTCCTTGTAGACTTCAAGGTTTGTGTATTTGTCACAGGAGTGTTTTTACTGATCATGCTCCAAACAGCCTGGGATTCCCTTGGAATGCTGAATTCCATGTCTGTCTACCAAAGCCCTTTCCTCTGATGAACCAGGGGGTTCTGAGATATAATAAATGTGCAAAGAGTCAGTGGGGTGTGAGTGTTTGGTAACAGCCCATGATCAAACTCTCCGAGGCCCTTCTGTAGAACTCTCACTTGTTTCTTTGTAGATTGTGTACAAAGAAGTGGAGAAATCCCCATCTGTTGAAACAGAGAGACTTTCTTTCCCTCCAACAAAAGCATTGGCCAGTTCTCTCTTCAGCACACAGAGTAAATGTAAGCCAAAGTTTACTTAAACAAGACACTTGAGTTTGCCATGGGAAGTCTTTCTATAAATAAATGGTGTAGGTGAACTCTGCCCCTTGGATGGTGGAACAGATCCTCTGGATGTTCTCAAGAGCAGTAAAAACCAATCTCATTGTTTGTGGCACTGTTAATGACCTTTGTTTTGCACCAATGTTTGAAATGTTAGTTAAAAGGTAGTGGAAATTTTGATCCCTCCTTATTTTCCTAATTTAATCTCAGACCTGCCTGGATTTCCAGCCTTTCCTTTTTTGTCGGAGGGCTGGAAATAATAAGCTGGCTATATGAATATGCAATATCTTAAAAGAATTGAAGTTTGGACTGGAACATCTTGGAGAAGAGTAAAATGTGGTCCTATCGCTTCAGGGATGATGGGTTTTAACAGCTGGGGTTTAAATGCATTGTCCATTCAGGCTCACTTAGTGAAGTGCTTTTCTTTCCCGTTCCAGATGAGATCTCCCAGGTGCCAGTTTCTTTACAGTATATCAAACCAGTTGCTGACAGGGCAAATCCCAAAGTGGGAGTTGGGATGTTGGCGTTCAGTGCAGATAATTGTTTCCTGGCAACCAAAAATGGTAAGTTCCGACTGCTCTGCCTTAAAGGGAAACCCTCTCTGGGAATGGGGGGGTTTCTTATTGCACTTGTTGCTCTGTAAAATCAGCTCTGCTGAGACGTGTAACTACAGAGGCAACCCAGCCTCTGTCTTCTAGTGTATGTCAAGTGGTGTGAGCTGCCAGAATGGCTGATCAGAGCAGGAACTCAGCCTTGGCTCTGCATTTGATGAAAATAGTAGATTTTTGTATTTCTTCAAGTGTGTGCAAGGTCACTGTGTTGAAAATGGAACACAAAAATCTTCCCCTCCATTTACAGCCTGGGTCTTGTGAAGGGCAGAACTCTGCACAGCCTGTAGCAGGGGGGATTCTGACTGCCTCAAATAGTGAAAGTCATGGAATTAATGTTCCATCTTTCCCTTCAATGATCCTGAGGAGCTGTTCATGTCTGGATGCCAAAGCTGTGGGTCAGGTGCAAAACCCACCAAACAGACTGATGTGATAAAAGCCAGGGAAGAACTGGGAGATGTACTAAGTCACTTCTTTTACCGTTTTTGCAATATTTCCAAGGCAATGCTGAAGGCTTTGCTTGGCAAGACTCTATTGGTGGCACCCCTGGGGTGCACCTAAAGGTTTGTGTTGTGTTAGTTTATGTTTGTGTCAGTTAATGCCCGTTTGAAAAACACAAGTGTGACCCTTTCATCCTTCAAGTCTTACGTGACTGGCACTTCCTTTGCAGACAGCATTCCCAACGCTGTGTGGGTCTGGGACATCCGGAGGCTGAAGCTGTTGGTGGTGCTGGAGCAGCTGTGCCCCATCCAGGGTTTCCAGTGGGACCCTCGGCAGCCGCGCCTGGCGCTGTGCACGGGCACCAGCAGAGTGTTCCTGTGGTCCCCCGCCGGCTGCGTGGCCGTCCAGGTGCCCGGGGAAGGTGAGGCCCTGCAGGAGCTGCCACCAGCTGATCAGGGGCAAAATAGCTTTCCACTTACTAATCACTCCGAGTGTTATCGTGAAAACGGCTCAGGTGTGTTCTTGGAGCTTCTTAAAAGCGGGTATTTTTATCCTCAAAAAAAGGAGGAGCTCACAACGAGGCAGCAAATGTCAAATGTATCGAGGACAGAGCACGGGGCTGACAGGGATTTGTGTGACTGATTCCAGCTGCCTTTTCCTCCAGCAGGAGGATGGGCTGCCAGCTCCTTGCTGACACACTCTGCTCTCTTCCTGCAGGCGACTTCCAGATCGTGTCTCTCTCCTGGCATTCCAGCGGGGACTCCATGGTGCTCCTGAGTAAGGACAACTGCTGTGTGTGTTACTTAGAAAGAGAAGAGGTAAAATAAAAAAATTAAAATGCACTAAGAATGCTCCCAAGTCTGAGGAAGGAGGAGGAAAAGGGTAAAAATGTGTTGCCCAATCTGAAGTGTTTGTATTTATAAATTATTTATTTAAAGGAGCTCCAAGCTCAGTGTGTGAAGTATTGTGATTGCACTTGAGTGATGTAGCAACTGAAATGTAGGGAGTGGGTCTGGATTGCAAGAAAAACCTGAATACTGATGGAGTTGAACATTTCTCTGTGTCAACTCTGAACCCTTATTTTCCAAGACTGTAGCTCTGTGTGTATATAATGTATAGCTATTATTTAAATTTTCTAATTTCCAATAAATATTTTGATAGTTACAAACTATAAACCTGCACCTCTGCACTCTAAAGTCTGTGTCAGTTTGATGTGATTATGCAGTGACTTATCCCAGCATGAGGAAACTTATTTGCACACAACATGGGAGGCAGTAACTGTGCCTGGGCCACTGTGGATTTATTACATGGAGTCTTTACAAGAGGGATGACAACTGACATTTCAGGATGTTGAATTACAGGCAACTGAAATGGCAGTTTTTGTCCCAATTCTCTGGTGCCAACTGGGAGTGGGTGGTTTGGTAGGGAAGGAGCAGTTGGACTGTCCTTCTACTGTGTCCTTCCAAGGAGGGAGCCCCTTGTGTAGGAATTTATTGGATGTTTTTTCTTGTGATGCCTAATTTCACAGCTGTCTCCAGAAAATGAAGAACAAAGACCAAATTGAGTTGAAATTTAACTTTACTGCAAGGTTAATGAAAATTGAACAGACAACTTAGAAAATGCACAGAGAGGGACAATGCAGCTTGTTGCATTCCATCAGGACTCCAGCTTTTTATGAGTTTCACAAACACACACCTATGTTAAGGCCAAAAAAACACCACTGCAGCACAGTGTTTATCCAGCAGATAAAGGCTTTGATAAAAGGGCATGGAGAGAAGGTCATGCACAAAGAATCACCTCTTCAGCAATGCCAGCTCAGTGTCTCTTGTGCTGCTTCTCAATTTAATCCCTGGACGTGAGGCTCAGGGCAGGAATGTATAAAGCAAGGCTGACACACAGTGCTGAAAGTTTTTTCTCTGTCTCCATTAAAAAGTCGTGGCCCAAACTAGAGTAGATTTCAGAAAAATGGCTAAGAATATCAATCTAACCAAAATAGAATTCCTTTTCAGTTTTACAAAGAACAGCTTTGAAGGCAAATGTGTTGGTGAGGCTTTTGGCAATGTTCTCTCACAACAGTCTTTATTCTGTGGCTGCAGCAAGGAAACAGAGGAAGTTCCAGTGGGTTCTTAGAGGGATTTTTACAAAAAGCATATTCAGAGTTCACCAACTGCTGCTGAGCAGGTGGAACAGTGCAGCGTTAGCAAAAGCCAGCAAATATTGTTAAAGACTGACTGACAGCTTTCAAAACTCCTAACAGGCATTAATGAGAGCGCTGAGATCGTGGAGATTGGAACAGTAATTCCTCTTTAGACAACACTAATCAGTCCCAAGCACAGGGTAGGATCTGACACCATACACAGGGATACAGCAGTAACGTGGCACAAAGGTTCTATTGTACAGCAGGTACTTGGGCGGGGTTTCAGCAGGTTCCAAGGGCACTTCATGAACAGGAAGAACAGGCCTGGAAGGACACGGAACACGCCGCTGCTCACCCCACAGGGACCATGCGGGCTGTACATCAGGTACAAAATACCAGACTGACACCACCCTGTGTCTGCCTCAAATCCAATCTGTGCATTCCCCAAGCGACCTGGAACTGTCCTACAACCACCCCCTTTCCTTCCCCGAACTCCCCTTTGCCCGTCGTGTGCTCTGCCCTCAGCGCACTCTCCCCGGGGACCAACAGCAAGTCACCTGCCCTTCAGCGGGGGACAGCAAGGGGGCTTAAAATCCAATTTTTCCTCTTGTCATGGAGTAGCCCAGTTTGGCCTCGTTGTTGATGAAGGACATCAGTCCCAGGTAGGTCTCGATGAGGATGGGCCGCTCCAGCACCAGGACACCAGAAGCACTCCCTGGCACAGGGCCCTCCTTGTGGGCTTTCTTCACAGCCTGGATCAGCTGCGTTTGGAAGTTTTCCAGCTGAAAGAAAAAAAGTCACCTTGTTTTTCCATTGTTTTACAAACTGTTAGGGAAACAGCTGCTGATGTGGAATGGAGAAGGATTAACACTAAAGCCGGAGTTGTCAGGGATCTCATACTGTGATAAATGTCACATTCTGATATTTAACCTCAACGAGTCACACAGGACACTATTGACACGTGACTTAAACGTGGGCTGGATGGGTAAAGATGTGTCAGTGACCAAGTGTTTATTTCTGCCCTGATGACTGATGTGTTGCACTTAAAGCATTCTAGTTTTAAGGAAAACTCCAGAGGGAATCACCTATTCCAAGAAGGACTGAGAACCCCCTCAGTGAAGGTTTTCAGTGAGCAATTAAACCAGCTGTTAATTAGCTGGCAGTCCTAGAGGGAAAATCCACCAGCCTGTCAGGTAAGTAAGAGCAGGAATAGGCCATGATCCATTTGCTTTTCGGTTTTACAGGACTCTGTGCTTCTGGAAGTTTCAGTTTCCTCTGTGCTTCATCCAGTTATGGGTGGCTGGAGGAAAACGGGCAGTTGTGCCGTGCTGCAAGTCAAAATTTGGGGAGTGGAGAGATACAGCTTACAGTTCTAAGTTCCATCTCTGACGTGACTCCTCCTGTTTGATGTACTGCTTCAAAGTAATCTAAGTTGTATCTGGCCTGTGAGCTCAGTGATCAGGACAGGCCCGTTCCTTACCCGGCACAGGGATGCGACCTTCTCATCAGCGTCTGCCATGGGGTGCTCAGTGAAGGTGATGTAGGGGATGTTGGTGGACCAGGGGTTCCACCTGTTGATGAAGGAGGCCCGGCTTTGCTTGTCCCACTGAATGCGGATACCGACACCTTCCCGCCTGCAGTGGAGACAGGAATTAACAGGGTAAGACTTTCCAGTTGTTGAGGCACCTTTTAACTAGAAAGTTCTGCCTGACAAAGACAGTTGAAACTGGAAGCTGAAATGCAAGTGATAGGAAATCTTTCCTGTAGGCAAGAATTAGCATGAATTCAGCCCTTAAACATGCAAAGGAACCTTCCTATGAGCTGACAGCAAGAAGGTGAAACTCCTTGGACATCTGGGATGTGGAACTTGACCTGCACAGCCTGTGAAAGCCCATGTGTACAGGGGACCTGACAACACTGAGGTGGTGCTGCTGCTACTTACTGCATTACATAATGGTGACAAACTCCTGCTCCCAAATCTACTCAACTTATCTTGAAAGTCCTTGAGCAACTTGCTATTAATGCAACTACTGACCGTACCAGCAAACCAGCAGCTACCCTGAGGTCTTCTAATGAAGCTTCAGGAATTGTTTGCAGAGCTAAGTAAGTGAAAAGAAGAATTCTCTGACCCTTCCAGTGATCAGCATCAGGCCAACATTGTTCACAATAACAAAGGTCGTTACAGAGTGACTGTGGCAGCTTACTTGTTCAGAGATTTCGGTGGGAACTCGAACTCCCCCACGGAGATGGTGTCCACAGCGCTGAGGGCGATCCTCGTCACCTGCTGGCACTGCAGGCTGATGAAGTTGTACTTACACACCAGGAGGGACCAGTCCGTGATGAGGACAAGACGCTCCTTCTCATTGTTCCAGTGATCGATTCTGGTAAGAGAATGGGACTGAGCTTTAGTGGTTCCGAGGCCGCCCCGGCGCTTCTCCCCCCGTGCCCCCGGAACTCACTCTGTGAGCAGCCACACGCTCTGCACCTCCCCGTCCTCGGCGGGCAGCACGACCACCCGGATCTCGCTCACCGCCTGCTCGATGGTGCCGGGCTGCGGGGGGAAGGCACACACAGGTCAGGGCTGCGGGGGGGATGCGGGCGGCCCGGCCCGGCCCTTCCCCGGCGCGCACCCGGAACACGAAGTACTGTCGCAGGCGGCCGGCGCGGCCCGCGGTGCGGACACTGAGCGGCCGCAGCGTCTGCCGGGCCCGCGGCGCGGGCGGCTCGAAGGGCGGCCCGGCCCCCCCCGGCACCAGCGTGGCGGCCCCGGGGCTGCCGGGGCTGCCGGAGCCGCCGCCCGGGCCGGGCTCGTCCGCGTCCCGCAGCTGCAGCATCGCGGCGGGGCCGCAGAGCCTTCCGGGGCGGAGCGAGCGGGGCCGGCTCGGGGGCTGCCGGTGCCTCTCCCGCTCCTTGCTGGCCGGGAGGCGGCACTGCAGCCCCGGCACGCTCACGGGGGGCGGCACTGCAGCCCCGGCACGCTCTCCGCGCACCGGAGGATGCGCGGGCGGTACCCGGACAGAGCCCGGCCGCCGGGATGCGGGGCACGGGATGCGGGGTATCCGTTACCCGCGCTCTCTGGGTAACGGGCTCGTCCCCATCACGCGCCGGGGCGGTGCGAAGCGGCGGATGCCGTCACTGTCGCTTGCCCAGAGCTGTGTTGGGTACCAGGTGCTGTCACCGTCACGCACAGGAGCTGCGTCAGGTACTGTCACCATCACACACCGAGACTGTACCGGGTACCATCGCTGTCCCACACCCGGGGCTGTACGAGGTGGTGGGTGCTGTCACTGTCCCTTGCCCGGAGCTGTATTAGGTACGAGATGTCTCTGCTCTCGCACATCTGGGGCTGTATGAGGTGCCAGGTGCCGTTCCTGCTGCACACTCAGAGGTGTATGAGGCCTGTCTTGGCTCTGCCGTGGATTTTCGGGGCTGAGGAAGACAAGCACGTGACACACAGCACAGAGAGTCCAGTGGGAAGCCCTGGGCTTAACCAAAATGATGCTCTGCTCTGCCAGGTGGTCTGGAGAAGGATTCTGTGATGTACCCACAAAGCAACAGGATTTGTGGACCTACAGCGGTCAGTTGGAACTCCTGTGAAGCAAATCCAGGTCAGAGGTATGAGATCCTTAAACACCATCAGGTCAGAGCTCAGGAAGGTACTGGAGCAGTGCAGGTCTGGGGACAGGACTGTGATTTGAGAGCCCTGACACCCATATCACACCCAGCACGCTTGATAGTGAAGATTAAATAACGCTGGGAATGAAGGGCATGCTGATGTTTGGGTTTCTGTGGGCTCTGGCATGACTGCAGATATTATCATCACTGTTTATGGAACTATCAAATCTTGGACCACTGTCAGTGCTGTTGTACCCAGAGCCAGAGGATGACATCCTTGGCGGGCGGCCGTGCTGGGAAATGATATAAGATTGAAAACATATCCAATTGACTTCACAGATGGGGTTGGGTTTCAGATATCTGACTTTCACATGTGTCCCACGAATTCCCTGCTGTGTTCTCTGCAGCCCTTGCTCACATGGGCCTGTTTAGGTGGGAAACCTTGCTACTGTCTTTAAAGAGACTTTACAAGAACTGCAGAGCTGACTTTATGCTTGGTCGCTCCTCGTGCTGTGCTCAAAGCGCAGCTTTTCCCAGAGGAGCTTCCCCTTCTCCCCACTGGCAGCTTGCTGGGGTGGCTGTGGCTGGGAGGGTCACCATGCCAGGCCAGCCAGGACCCTGCAGTGAGTTGTGTCCTGTCTGTGTGGCAGCCAGGCTTGTCACCTGAGGCAGTGTGGGAGCTGTGGCTGGACTGATCCATCCTCATTCTTGGCCCCGAGCCGTGTCCTGGAGAGGGAGCTCGACTCCCTGCTCTGCCCAGCCCCTGCCCATTGAGAGGGATCCCTGGAAGTCTAATTGGGAGCAGCAGCCCGTTTCCTACTGTTGGAAAAGTCCTAACTTTTAAATGCTGGACAGGAAAACAGAGGCTTGGATTTATTATATCCTGGAGCTCTCTCTGTTGTTATAAAACATCTTTATGTAGCTGCCTTTCTTCCCGAGGAAGAATGAAGGATGTTTTCTTCCATCCGTTAGGCTTGGCAGATATTTTACTGCTAAGTGGAAGCATTAAGCCTCCTCACCTGCTCTTTTCTTTGACCTGTGGGATTTATGGCACTGCTGTGACCTTGGGAGGGTTCTGGTGTAAGAAGCAGCTGCCTCGGTTTCTTCCAAGAGCCACCAGATTATGGGCATGGCCCTTGGGGACTTTAGTCTTGATTAATGGTTGTCCTTCAGTGGAAAAATATGTCTGCGAAACTATCCAAACCTTCTTATCCTGCTTCTCTGGGGGAAATCAGCACCTGCCAGAAGCCAGGAGTGCCCTGGAGTGCCCCAGCTTCTGCTCTGGTTCCTCCTCGCCCTTAGGAAGGGTTTCCTGGCAGGTTCTTGAGGCTGGAGAGTTCAGTGCAGCATCCCTGCTCTGCTCTCCTCCCCATCCTGCTGGGCAGCTGGAGCTGTCCCTGTCAGCAGAATTTCCTTGGGAAGTGATCAATTTACTTATCTGTTGGAGTGCTTAGGAAAGATTGAATCTCTCTTTGGGTGATTTTAGAGCTGCTGGGAAGGTGGTGTGTCCGGAGCTGGCCCTGGGAAGTGCAGAAGAGCTGCCTGTGGAGGAGCAGACCCGAAGCATCGCTGCTCCATCCCCGTGTGCAGGGCCGCCCCCTCCCCTGCTCGGGGCTGGGCACCGCTGGTGGGAGGGATTTCTGACTGACAGCGAGCAAAGAGGCAGGAGAGCATGTGAGGGAAAGGAGCTGGACCTGGAGAGGCAGGGGGAAGTTTTGTGACTCCCGTGAACTGCAGGGAAGCTGCTCCGGTGCGTGTGTTCGTGCCCGCGGAGCTGCTCGCTCCCGGCTGCGGAGGAAGGTGGGAGCTGCGGCAGGAGGATGCCTCCCCCTCTGCGGATGGAGTGAAGGAGCACCCCGTGTGCTTTGGGGAAAGCCCCTGAGAAGGGGGATTCTCCTGCCGGGAGAGCTCCCGTCCTTCTTCTTTCCTCTTGCCAAGTGCTGTTTTTCAGAGTGCCTTGGGAAGGGGATCTCAGCTCCGGAGCAGCTCAGCTCACATGGGGCTGTGCTGCTGGACACAGCCCAGGTCTTGTGAGCCCCCAGATCTCTGGGCTTTGTCAGGAAGCAAATCCCAGAAGGAAAAGTCACTTCAGTGCATTTCACTGCGAGCAAATGAGCATGAGAAGCCAGGTTTGGTTTGGGGGAAAACCCAGCAGCAGCCTGCACTGTGATCACTTCCCATGGACTGAAGAAACTCGCTGAATGAACCCAAGAGGGAGGAAGCATCCAGGAATGATAAATCCGCTTTCCCGCCGCGAGAACTCCCCTGTGCTCCGGTAGCTTTGTCCTTTCCAAGGAAAGACACCGGCAAGCTGGGAGCAGGAGGCAGCAGGATCGTCTGCCCGTGAAGAGGAGGAACTGGCGGAGCTGTGCTGGGGGAGGCTCTGGGATTCCCTGGGCACCCGCTGGGAGCACCTGGAGGGAGAGCAGCGGCTGCGATGGAGTTTCCTGCGGTGGCACTGTCGTTCATCCTGGCCCTGCGAATATCTCCGCTGGCTTCTGGGAGCAAACTGCAGCCCCACATGTGAGTAGGAAGGAGCGAATTCCGGAGGGGTTTTATCGGGCAGGGAACTGAAAAGCGGGAGCCAAATACAGTGTTTTCAAATCAAGGAAGAAGCGAGGAGCAGAGAGTGAAGGGGAGCAGGGGCTGTTGTGGGTTTCTTTCTTTACTACCAGATGTGCAAAAAAGGGAATAGAATATCGAAAACCTTGATAATCTTTGCTTGTAAACTCCCAGATTTAACTGAAATGCTGCTGTTGTGGGAGTGAAAGAGGTGATTCTTCTCTGAAAGAGGTGATTCTTCTCTGAAAGAGGTGATTCTTCTCTGAATAGTTTGCCCTTTCTTCCCAGATGGGCTGTTTTTATGGCACTTCACGGATCTTTCTTATTCCACGTTCCTCCCCACCCGCTGCTGTTACTCCAGCAGCACGTAGGCTGCTCTTTTTAATTACATTTTACAGTTACAGTTTGGTGTTAATCATTTGGCTGCTTTGGAAAACTTCCTTGCAAATTTGGCCTCCTGCCAGAAGATGGTCTCTCAGAGCCAGGGGATCGCTCTAATTCCCTTTGTCCATGGAGCCGGTGTGGTGTGGGGCACTGACTCCAACCCGCCCTCCCTGAGGGGTTTAGTTCTTCAGTAAAAGGGGTCCTTCAGCAGATAAACGTTTTCCAAGAAGCTGCTTTTTCTCCCTGCATCAGGGGTTTTGTGCTCCTGCCCTGACAGTTGCTCTCAGGACTCCTTGGACGAGGCCCTGGAGCTGAACCCTGTGCCAACAGGCTGCAGTTGGAGTGGAGCACCCGGAGCAGTCGGATGCCAGCTGTGATCTGAGCTTCACCACGTCAAAATTATTTCGTTTTACTTCCTTTATAGAAAGTATCTTTGTGAAAACTCTGGATCCCTTTGGCGGAATTGGAAGCAGCAGAAGCAGCCCCAAATGCTGTGTGGCTCGTGGCTTATAGAGTCAGGGATAAATGTCTCCCTCTTTGTTCTTAGTTAAAACCACTGACTTCTGCTGGGAGAAAGAGTTAGGATTAGAGGAGAAACAAAGTGCAAGTGGTATTTCCCTTATTTCCTTACTGCATTGTATATATTCCTTTTATTTACTGGAATTAGTCTTAGTTCTGAATGAGTGAGAAACCGCCACTGTGGCTGGCTGACCTGGCACGATTTCTGTTCCCTGCAGTGATTTAACTAATTGAGGAGGCAGATGCTGGGGGCTGCCCAAGACCTTCCTGCCCCGTCAGCAGGAAGTGCAGCTGCCCACGGCAGGAGCCTGTTGGGGCAGTGGGAGCACTGCTGCGCCCCTGGACACCCCAGACCCCTCTGTGCACCCCCAAACCCTCCCAGCCCCCTGTACCCCCGTCTCTGTGTCCCAGGCCGAACGTCTGCGCGGAGCAGGAGCTGGCGGTGGTGGGGCAGCAGCAGCCGTGCGTGCAGGCGCTGACCCGCGCCGTCAGGGTGTGGAAGCAGGACTGCGGGGGCCGGCGCTGGTGCACGGGCTACGAGCGCAGGTAGGTGCTCTGCCTTCCACTGGGGTCCCTCCTTGGGGGCTGAAAGGTGGCTCCTGCTCCCCAGCAGCAGCGGGGAAGTGAGTTTGGTGGTGTCTGATCCCGCCTGGCACATCCACGACACAGAGTTTTTAAGCTGTCAAGGAATTCCTGAAGGAAAGGTGCCTGTGTCCTGAAGAAGCCTCGTCCTCGTGGTGGGCCATTTCCCGCCTTCCCACGACGTACGACACCTGCTTCCTGTGATCCAGCTGCGGTAAGGAAATGACCTGTTCACATCACGTGTGTTATTCCTGTGTCTTTAGATGCTTCAAAGCATCTCGGTGCCTCTTGTCTCACAGGGCTGATGGCAGGAGGGCTCTTGTCTAAAAATAACTGTAACTGTGGCTGTGGTGCCGGCGATGGGGTGGAGGACAGGGACTGGTGGGGTGGCACTCAGCAGGATTTGCTGCAGCATCACCACCTTCCTTTCACTCCATGAGCTGGACCATGCTCAGGCCCACGTGAGACGAGTGTAGAGCTCAGTGGAGTTGGGCTGGCACAGGCGAGCAGAGTTTGAATGTACTTGTAGTATCCCTTGAGTTCCAGCTGTCCAGAGCTGGGAGCCCAGGCAGGAGGGCCTGAGGAAGGAGGGCTCTGAACACGTGTGACAGTGCAAATACTGCACTTTTCTTACCTACCCAGCAGCCAAACTACAACGTGCCTAAGCTGCTTCCGTCCTCCACCTGCTTTTCCGGCCTCATTAGGCACCTACGAGCCTTTACAGAATAATGATAGTTGTCATCTCAAAGAAACATCTTGGACTCGAGACAGCTTTTAAGTCTTGACTTCAGGAATTCCTCCTAACCTGTAATTGCCAGTAATTACCCTGGCGATGAGATCCGTGTCCTGGTAACAAAGGAGCAAACAGAGTCTGGTTTTTGGCTGTGTTTTAAGGGAAGGCTTTGAAAGGGTGGGTGCCCTGTCTGCTTCTACTTCAAAGGCTGGGAGCCCTTCAGCCCCAGCTGTCCCTTCAGCTCTTTAATGGATGGTTTTGACATCATAAATCAAGAGACTGAAATGAAATAACGTTCTGTTCTGCTGCATTCTAAATATCAGAACAGCCCAGTGCTAAAACTCTGTTCCTGATGAAAACGCAGAGGAGAAGCCTGTGAGAGATTTCACCCCAGGAGCTGTGAGAGCAGAATGTTCCTCAGGTGGCATTTTGTCCCAGATCCCCTCACTCTAAAGCTCTGGGAGTTCCCACTGCAGCAAACCTGTTCCAGTAGCTGGGAGCTCTCCTGCCAAGCTCCCCTGTGCCGAGCACTCGAGGGCAGTGGTGCTCACGGGGACTCTGGGGAGCCTCCGTCTCACCCTCTGGAGCTGCTCCAGTTGGACCTGGCTCTGGAAGCACGGGGCTCAGGAAGTGCATTCACAGCTTCAGGATCTGGCCTGAAATCGGCCTCGGTACCTTTGAGTTCCTGGAGGCGACTGGGAAAACCAGCACGTGCTCCATGGCAGCCGAACGGAGCATCCTCAGCCTGCTCTGCTCCACCTTCCCCGGGAAGGGATGGGTTTGCTCCCGGCGTGCAGCTTCCCAGTGAGTGATGACAGCAGGTAGCTTTGCTCAGAGCTCTGTAACCAAACCTGGAGGAGTGACAGTGATACCCCAGAGGGGCTGGAAGGGGATTTTCCAGCAGCAGGACACAGCAGGATTTTCTGGGTTCCATTAGTTCTGGCTCATTCCACATTTTCTGTACCAGGGGCTCCTTAGAACACAAAAGAAAACAGAAACACTGAAGATAAAGTATCTCCTGTGTGGCTCTTTCCCGTCTGCAGCACCCAGATACTCACAGGCACCGAGGCTGTCACAATATTTGCCTTTCCTGAGAACCCTGCACTGGTGGAAGGGTCTGAAGTGTCCAACGGAGCCGCCCGGGTGTGTGGGGGTGACACTGCCCAGGGGCTGCTGGGGCACAAGGTGCTTCACTATTTCTACCTTTTTCTCCCTATTTCTGAGCCTCCTTGTTATGTTCACACCACCCTGCACCCACCATCTCCCCTTCTCCTTCCACAGCCCCCTGTCCTCCCTGGGCTGGGCTGGAGAGAGCTCCTGGTACCAGGAGGATCCTGATGCATCGGAGCCTGGTGCCTGTAAATTGCTTTCTCAGCTTCTTCTGGAACACAACTATTTCCTTCATAATGTGCTAACAGCTCATACAAAAAAAAATATTGGAATCTGCTCTTATTTTTCTCAGCTGTTCTTCCACGTGCTGATTGGCACAGAGGAGTCCAAAGGTTTCCTTCCTGGGAATTAAAGGTTTGCTGTTACTTGGGTTTTTTTTTGTAGAGAGACATTCAGATGAAATCAAACAACTCGACTGAGTTAGGATAAATATTTTCAGTGGACATGCACAACACATCTGCTGTGCCAAATATTTGTTGTTGTTTGCCTGACTTGCTTTGGTGGAGCAGTTTCATGTTGTGCCAACGGGGCTTTGCAAAAATCAGCTTCAAAAGTTTTATCTGTGTTTCAATTCTCACAAACACACAACATCAAATTTCCGGGAAAAAACCTGTCGCTTTTATTTATTTACACTTCAGATGAGTCCCTGGTTTACTCCCTCAGCTCCCACCCTGGAGGGAACTACTTGGAGTAGTTAAAGGGATCCTCAGCATCCCCTGCCGAGCTGTGGAGCCTTGCTGTGTACAACACAGCTTTTGGAGGAGCTTGGTGTTGCCATCAGGATTCTGGTGATTTTTTAGCTCACCAGACCCTTGGAGACACCTGCTCCTGCTCACTAAAGCTGAAATACCTGTTGTTCTTAAAATTTACATTTCTTTTGTGAACAAGTGTAAGAGGGGATCTCAGAGCTGTGAAATAGGTTAGAGAAGAAGAGAATCCAGGGTGTTATGGGGACCTGGGCGCTCATCTCTCGTGTTCCCAGTTAGAGTAAATTAGGAGTATTTTCTTAGCATCAGTGATCGTTGCCAGACCAGGTGGGAAACAATATCAGCACGTTTGGAAACACAACTCCTCGTTGTCTTTGCCTCCACATTTAGAGTAACCAGCTCTGTTTTCACAGTTCCTTGTGCAGCAGGAGCTGACCCTGCTGGGTGTCTCTCTGTTGTGTTCCAGGGTGCTGTACTACACAGGCTACAGGCAGCTGTACCAGCTGAGATCCCACACCACGTACAGGTGCTGCCCGGGGTGGTCCCAGCTGGCAGGGGAGGACGGGTGTCTGCACCGTAAGTGTTGCGCTGCTCACGGCAGAGTCTTTGCTTTTGGCTGAGGGTGCTCGTTTCAATTCCTGGGCCTGCAGTAAAAGTGTCTTTAAATGTCTTTAAAGAGAACTGGTGGGGGTTTTTTGTTTTGCCTTTTTTTTTTTTAATCCTTTTTAAAAAAATTATTAATATTGTTATTATCATTATTTTTATTTCCTTTACCTGTGCATCAGAAGGATTCTGCTCTGGCTTCCCGGGAAGCGCCACGTGTTGCTTTCTGTTTTTGGAGAATTTCCACGTTGCAGCGTGAAAGGGTTTCAGGGTCCCAGTCATTTATCCACTTGCCAAATGCTACTAAATGTTTAAAATCAAGCTCAAACTGGTGTTTCAAGCTGGTGCCATTGGCAGAAACTCTGGAAACTCCTGTGGGAAGGTGTGTGTGTGTTGGGGGCTGGGTCTGTTGTTTTAAGACTGACTGAGTTTGAGCTGCCCCTGTGAGAGGTTTGGGATCTCTGCATCCACCCCATACCTGCTTCCTCCCATATCCTAAGGGCAATCCTGGGGTCAGGACAGTGGGATCCAGCAAGGGATGTTGCAGCATCAGCCTCAGGGAGAGAGCACACAGCCATGGGGGGGGTGGCACTTGTTGGGTCTGGAGTGGAGACCCAGAACTTGAGACTTTGGGATCCTGTGGCTGGATTCCTGCTCTCTTCTGGTGCAGTTCTCTGCCAAGCAGGCATGGAAGTGTCTCCATCCCAGCTGTGTGGGAAGCTGTGATATGTATTCAGGTTTGCACATGAGTCAGGCTGGGGATGTGCAAATATTAGTCTATAAGATGATTTTATGCTGTTGTTGCAGGAGACAGAGGCAGTTTTGTCCCCACGGGCCCCACATTCCCCATTCCCCTCCACACTTCCCTGCCTGACACGGGAGGCAGCTGCTCTGCTGCTCCCAGACCCTGGGGCCACATCCAGCTGGGGAACCATTTAACTGCAAACTGTGCTTTCGAGATGTGGAGAGCAAAGAAAACCCTTCCCTTGAGTCGAGCAAAGGTTTGTCTGAGCTTATGTGTAGAACCAAATGTCACCCCCCTGCAGAGCCACACAAGCTCCTGGTGCTGTGGGATGAGTTCTCTGCCTTGGTGCCTAATTCTTCTCTGATTTAGACTTTGGAGGTGCTCTCTACCCCCCCTACAGAAGGGCAACTTTAGATCTAAGTGATAGGCTGGAGAACCAGCAAAGCATTTGGGATCTGACCTGCACTGCCATCAGGGGAATGAGAGCCAGCCATGGGCAGCTCCACTGCGAGGGCAGTTGGGGTTGGGGTTGACCTCCAATACAGGAAAATGTCTCCCACAGCTGGTTGCCTTTTGTTCTGTGCAGAGACCATCTGTACCTTCCCTGTGCTTTGATGCTTGAACCAAAGGTTTACAAAAAAAGGGAAAATAAGGTGTGTCAAGCAACCAGTCTTTATTCTTCCTATTCCAAAGCCTGGAGCAAAGGAGAGCAGTGCACTGGGCAGAGGAAGCTCCAGGGGTGCCTTATAACTCCCTGTCAGTGAGCAGATAATAACCTCAACTGAACTCAGAAAAGCACCTTCTGTAATGATTTTTCCTGCCAAGGAAGTGAGTAATTCCATGCAGGAAGGAAGCAGAGAAAAGGAAATAAAGCTGCTCAGGGCACGCTCTGAGCTCATCCTTCTCATCATTTGGGCTGGGAATGGTTCTCCTGGGCTGGGCTGCAGTAAAGAGGAAAGGGACAGTCAGCCCCAAAGGCAGAGTGACACCAGCTCAAAAAGTTCTGCAGGAATGGCTGCTGAGCTGCTGGAGGCTTGGAGTGGATCGTGAGCTGTGAGCTCTGTCTCTGTTCAGCCCCGGTCGGATCACTGACTCCACAACCAGGACGTGCTGTAACCTCCTTTCTGGGACAGAAAAATGAGTATCTCGAGTGCTGCAGGCCCTCAGCACAGGCAGGGGCACTCCCAGGGGTTGTTTGAGGCAGAAACTCCAGTGACATTGCTCTGTGAATCATCCTGTAACCCCCTGAGAGCAGCAGGGGGGCTGGTTAGCCTGGTTAGGGGCTGAGGGGGGCAGTGGGGTTTGTGCTTCCTGATCCAGACCCCCCTAAGCAGCAGCTGGAGGAGCATTCCATGGCAAACCAGGACAGCTCTGCCTGGCCCTGGTGGGGTGGCTGGTGCCCCAAGCTGGGATTTCTGTCCTGACCCACAGACTGTCCTGGGAAATGTGTCTGGGCTCTGTGTAACTAAACCCTCGTCCCAGGGAGCTCCTGGCTCTTGGTTTGCAGGGATGTGATGACTTTTCCTGCTGCTGGCTCTGGCCTCGGCACAAGCATGTTCTCCTGGAGCAGGGGAGGGTGTGGGAAGGTCTGTCAGGGGACTGTCAGTAAATATTGGTGAGGTGCTGAGGCAGGGGCACAGGGCCAGGGTGCTCTGTATGACACAGGATTTTCTGGTTTGTGTGCCTGGAGTCAGCCTGCACTTGCTGCTGTGGCTCTGCTGAATGCCACAAAGCTGTTGTGCCAAAACATGTCAGTGGGATTTGTGGCCCTTCCTATCTGCCTCCAGAGATCACTGGTCGTGTTCCAGGAGTGCTGAGGAGGGGAAGGGCATCACTGCTGACAGTTTAATTAGAGCTGTTGCCACCATGCAGTGGAATCTTTCCAGTGAGGACATCTTATCTTTCTCTTCAGCATCTCCTCACTGCAGGGCTCTCTTTGCTCCAAATGCTGGGCTGGTCACCAACTTTCCTTAAAAATAAAAAAATCCAACCCATGTGAGGGGAAATTTTCAGCACTGCAGGCTCGTGTGCAACATGACAGTGTCTGACACTGAGGGGGATGTTAAATACCTTTGTGAGATGGGAATCCCAGCACCCTCGGGGGTACCAGCTCAGGCAAGTTGTTTGGGCTCTCAGAGCTACCCCAGTGCCTGGAAGAAGGGAACAAACACTGGGTGTACTCAGCTTAGGTTGGAGGCAGTAGCAAAACCAGGGTGTCTTTCTCTTCCTCACATGCAGGTTTAAGTCTCTAAGCACTTACAGGTCAGGCAATGGCCAGTGTGGAGCTGTGAGGGCAGTACTGGGAGTGTGTGGGCTCTGCTGGGAGCAGATGGCTTGGAAAGAGATGGAAAATTTCACAGAAACAAAAATCTCACAAAGGTCTCAGAGAATATTTGGCTTTTTTGCTCTGCTCCTGTGCCCTCTACCATGGTGACAGCCAGGCTGTCAGCCCTTGCAGGGTGCCCCCAGTCTGTCTGGGTTCTGTGTTTTGTTCTCACCTCCAAGGGTGAGGGCTTGTTGCCTCCCATTGCCCTCTGTCCTGGAGCATTCATTTGTTTGGGAAGGAGAAAGGTCAGAAGTCAAGGCACCCTTTGCATTTTTAGGATGGCATCAGGTTCTTTCCTTGCCTGATTGCTGATAGTTTAACTTTCAGACTAAGCTGCTTGGTTTCAAGTGGCCTCTGAGATGCTACTTAAATTCCACCTGGGTTCAATAACACAGGTAAAGCTCTTGGTGGTTAGGACGAGGGGGCTGTGTGTCTGGTAATCCCTGGAGGAGCTGGAGTTCAGCCCCAGGCAGTGTCTGAGCTCTGGGCCAGCCCCTGCCACCTCCAGAGGGGACCTGGAGAGGCAGGAGGGCTCCCGGGAGAGCTGGGCAGGGGCTGAAGAGGAGACCATTGTGGGTTTAGTGGGGGTGACCTGGCCACGGTTGCAGTGTGGTCTGTGAGCTGTGCAGGAGGGGCAGGGCTCTGCCCTGACCATGCACTCCTGCAGGGAACAGGGGCTGCTGCTCGGGCTGGGAGTGCAGCTGGGAATGCTGGGACTGAACTTCTGAACCCCTCGCTCGATCCAGCCCAGCCTTGGTTCAAGGTCCCCCGTGTGCTCCCCTGGGGAACTCACCAGCCCATCTCTGCCCACGGGGGGGTTGTACCTCGGGGAGCCCAGACACTGCAGGTATGCAGAAATGCTTTTCTCCTTCACTCCTCCTTCTAAATCAGTCTAATGTCTCCGACTTCCCAAGAATCCTGCCTCACTAAATCCTTGCTAGGGACATTCCCTGGCCTTTGAGCAGAAGGCAGTGGTGCTTTCTGTAATTTATCCTTTCTTTCCTGTTTCCCTGGACAGTGTCGTCGCCCTTTTCCCAAATTTCATTGCATTAAACTCTGTCACTCTGAATTAGGAGCTCATTTGCAGGAGGCCTGGGGGGCACAGAGGGGGAGAGCCACAGCCCCCCCACCCCGGGCTGGGAAGTAGGTTATTATGATTTCCACTCGGTATGTGCCAGCCTGAAGCACAGAGCAGGGGATTGTCCGGCTCATTCAGGAAATCTGGGGCACTGCCAAGAATAACACCCCTGTCTTCTAACCCCTGATTTGTGTCGCTGAAACTGCTTCTAATATTTTCCATTGTTGTGCTTCGGGTCTCGCTGAGCTGCTGGCGAGTCGTGCACTCTGGATCCAGGCTGGGCTTTGCTGGGACCCCCTCAAAAGTCTCTTTTTTAGGTGATTAAGGTGAAGAATCTGGGGAGAAAAAAAACAAACCCGCTCTGCAATTTAGCCACGCAGTCCATTCTGTCTTATGGTGATGAGGCCTGAAGGAAAGGACTGAAAGAGAAGACAAGTCCTTCTGCCATGACTAGAGCTGGGAAAACCTGGAGGCTGCAGCCCCAGAACACCTCAGCACACAGCTGGAGATGGGAAGTTGTTCCTGCCCCGCCGTGCAGGGAAGTGCTGGCAGTGCAGGTGTCACAGCTCGGCTGAGCAGGACGCTTGGCAGAGAGTTCCCAAGTTCCAGAGCTCTGCCAGCACGGGACTGACACGGGATCACTGCAGTCCCCAGGGAGATGTGGCCATGAAAAGCGTTAGATGAGAAGATAACTGGCTTTGTGAAGCAGCGTTTCATCACGGATTCATTATTTCAGGGAGATGAGCGTTTGGGCTTCAATGCTACCTTTGTGTTATAAATAATCTTCTCTTTTGCAGGGGGGATTTGAAAAATTATCAGGTTTTTAAAAGAGCCAAGGCTGTGGCTCGAGTGGTTCAGCTCCAGTGCATCAGAGGTGCAAAGTTTGGGGAGTTTGGCTCTCGGTGAGAGGGGGACTTGGAACGAGCTGGAGCTGGGTGATCCACAGGGAGCTCCTGTGCCCGTGGCTGTGCCTGACCCCAGGGTGCTCTGACAGCTGGGTTGTGGAGAAGTGATAGAGCAAAGGTCCTTGAAATGGGTATGTAGCTCTGTCTGGCAAGAAGAGTGTGTTTTGATGGAAAACATGCACATTTGGAGAATGGCACATTCACATTCACATCCAAACCTTCACAAAATATCCCTAATCACAAAACCTCCTTAAGCACACGACCTCCCCAACCAGCACAGGCTTGGCGGAAGGCATTGTGCGAGCCAGGAGCAGGATTTAGCACAGAGGAGAAATTAGGAAGTCAATTGTGTTCCTGTAGGAAAAAACAGAGCCAATATTTGATGCATGGGGGATTCAATGGTGGGAGGAGAATAGTGGGAACTCAGGACTGTGGTTATTGCATTTCCATGTACAGGAGGTTGGAACTGATTTTTCAGGCGTGACAAGTTGACACCCACCAGCTTTGGGTTCCTTTTGTGAAGGTAATCCCTGCCCTTTCCCAGCTCGGGTTTCCTGTGGATGCCTTAAAGTTTTGAGTTATCTTTGCCAACTGATAACTTTGCAGATTTATCTCCTGGTGTGCACGAGCCGTCCTGCCAACGTGCCCAAACCCCACAGCCCCGTCCTTGCTCTTGTTTCCATCTGTGATCCCTTTTTCTCTGAGTGCACAATTAGTGTTTTGGAGCCGGCGTGGGGTACTTTGTGCCAAGAATTTTGGAGCCATTTTTGAAGGCCGCGCGGGGTGCCAGTTATAATGACACAAAATGAAATGTGTAATCACAGACCTGCTTTTTCTGTCACTAATTACTTACAGCTTTAGCTGGAATGGGAAGAGAAGCCAGGGGGGCTCCCGACTTGCAAAAGAGGAGGGAGAAGCTGCAGCCAGCACAGCCAGTGTGCCTGTGGGACCCTCGGCCCAGCAAGCCTGGAATTGTTTCCAGGTGGTCTCATATCATGCAAGGGGTTGTAATTTCATCACAGCTTTGTACATTCGGTTGGTAATGACCCCATGGCCCCGAGCACCAGCGATCCTGGCACCACTGGTGACTGCAGTGTGTTCCTTCCTGGGATGCATCAGCTGGAATGAATTGGTCCCCATGGCTTCTCTTAGCCCTGGGCTGAGCAGGGAGCTGGGGTGGGAGCTGCTGCACCAGGTACCAGCACTGTGTCTTGCCCTGTGTCATCAGGTGACGCTCTTTGCTCCATGTTATCCAGTTTGCCACGGCTTTTGTGAGATGTATTCCAACACTCCCATCACTCTGGGAGGTTGTTACAGCTTGTTCAGTGAAAAGGGAAAGGAGAAGAGCAGGTGTGGGAGAAAGGATGAAAAGAGAAGTTGGCTGGCAGTGCAGCTATGTCCAGATCAGTGAACAGAGAGAAAATTTCATTGTCCAAATCTTTAAATGGATTTAAAAGGAAGATGGGTGCTTGTTCTGCGTCCTTACCCTCTGACAAAGCACTGCACACGTGACAGCATCCCTGCTCACAACGTTCCTCCTTTTGACATCAGCCTTTCCCAGTGGGGAATATAAACCACGGGCTGCGTTTCACGAGTTATGAGAAACACGAGTTTCCCTGGATAAAACATAACCTTGCTTGTGGATTTATGTAGATGATTTGGAAAGGTGGATTTCAGAAGCCTAATTGAGCATTCTCTGTCTCTGTGTCCATTTTACACTCCGCTGGGTGAGAACAGAGAAACGTGGCTGCTCAGGCTTACTTGCAGTTTAGCTCCATGTCACCCTCCGGGCCGCTCGAAGGTGACGCCGCGTTGGGGTCTCCAGGGCTCCGGGAGAGCCCGGCCGAGAGGTGGGAGCAGCTCCTGGGGGTTTGTTCTGGGAAGATCCCTCCAATTGCAAAATAAGTAACCTGTATTTGTTGCCACAAGATCTGATGTGATTCAGCACGAGTCATTTTCTGGCTGTTTTACCCACGTGTTGGCTGGAAAACCCGTCGTTTCACCGAGAGCCCTTCCGATGTTTTCCTGTGGGTCCTCACTTAGCCACGCTCCAGGAAAAGCCCTGAGACATTCCCTGAGGGACTTCCCTTCCTCCTACATTTGGAGACTTTGTGCATTGAGTACTGCACTGTCAACCAAGAAACAGGTTCAGCAGTGGTTTTATAACTGTTCAGCTGTTCTCTGGGGCTGTGGGCACGTCACCAGTGATGGGTGTTTGTTGGTGCACGTGCCCTTCTGACAGTGGGTGCTGGAATCATCCTCTCCCTCCTCCTTGCAGCTGCCTGTGGTTACAGGGTTTGTCTCAACGGTGGAAGCTGCCAAGAGGGATCTTCACAGCTCTGTCACTGCTCCTCTGGCTTCCAGGGACCTCGCTGCCAGCACGGTAAGCCAGCACGCTGCCAGCAACTTCTTCCTCCGGTTTGGAAGTGGAGAGGATAAAGAGCGAGGGATGCCCTGATTTATTTATGTTTTATCTTAGCCATTGTTTTATCTGCAAAATGCCAATAATCTGCTCTTGGCTTTTGTAGTGTTTGGGGAGCTTGGATGTTTGGAAAGGAAATGCTTATCATGACTTGCTGTGAGACGCAGCCCCGCGCTGTACAATGGCCTTTATTCCTGGCTGCCATCCGCAGCGGGATCTGCTGCAATCGGAGAAGGAAGCTGATTAAAGTTGGGTCAAACAAAGGAACCCTGGGGTCACAGCCTGTGGAATGAAGCTGGGCCCGGGGCAGTGTGGCAATGAGCTGCCACCTTGGGAAGGAACGTTGTTGTGTCTTTGGCCAGACTGTGTTTTGGGGCTGCTAAGCTTTATTTCATTAACTTTCGTGTAATATACAAACTCCCTCTTGAATGTTACTGAGTTTCCTATGTTTGGTAAATCGCAGATGTTCTGTTTTGGGAACATGATGTTCTATAGCAAACAACCCCCAAGAGCTGGGAGGTTCCCTGTGCTGTGTAAATGGTTGGAGAACAGGAGCCTCAGGCTGCAGGGAGACACGGTTGTCCCCTCTCCTCCCTCTGAGTCTGCAGGGCACAGAGCAGTAGTGAATGCTCACATCATCTTTGGGTGATGCTGATTTATAGCAGCAAATTAAATAGTAGGACTTTTTTCTTTACCATCCATCTTTACCATCTGTTCCTTCCAAGACCTGTGGTTCCATCCTCCTTTGGAACCAGACGTAGGTGTGGGAAGGTAGGGAGCTGACTTGGAGCAGTCCTGGGAGCTGCTCTTTTCCCACCAATGAGGGCTGGAGAGAAGCATTTTATCAAAGCCTGAACCTCCTCAATCTCAAAGTAACCAGAACCAAGGGCAGAAAGGTGAGGATACAGGAAGATCCCAGCCACAAACTCGTCCTTCCCTTCATCTTCATTTCTTACTGACTCCTGTCAATGATTCTACTTGGTAAATACTTTTTTTCTGACAATTGTCTGGGTTCTCATAATCTCTTGCACTTTTGAAAGCACTCTGTGACTTTGGTGCTCATTAGCCAACATTTGTGCTGGATTTTTGTGACAGGATGGGAGGCTGGAGGCTGCTTTGGGGGAGGACACCTCATCAGTGGTTCATTCTTTCCTCATCTGTCACCTATCAAAGGAACTATGCTGGTATTTGAGATTATGGAACCTCCTTGAGAAATAGCTCCCCAGGATGGAGTTGTGGAGCACTGGAGTGACTCTGGATGTGAGCAGGTTGAGGCTGTTTGGTGAAAAGAACATGAAAATACCTGTGTGAGCAAAGCTGCTCCACAGCCATGTTCCGTGGTGTCCTTTGTCTTCAAGAAACCTGAGTCTGATCCGAATGGTATCGCTTTTTCTTTTGTGGAAAGAAACACAGATGTGTTTGTCTTAGGGGCAGGACGCTCCCTGTCCTGGCCAGGCTCCTATCAGACCTTTCAGCATGGGATGTTTTTGCTGGCCAGCCCCGAGCAGCAGCAGCCCCGTGTTTACCCTGGCTGGGCAGCCGGCGGTTCCCCATCACTGGGGTGTGATGCTGTCCTTCCTGGCCTCCTGAGCTGCTGACAGGGATAACAGTCGTGCACCCTCTGTGTTAAATCACCTCACTGTGAAGGCAGAGCCCTGGATGGGGCTGCACAAGCTCCTGCAGGAAGGTCTGTGGCCCATCGTGTGTACCCGTCCAGGTTTCATCGCCTGTTCTGTTCCCTCCTGCTCTCGGTGGCTTTTTGATCCTGTCAGGTGCTGTCAGTGGAGACTGATCTCTCTCCTCCCCTCTCCTTGCCCACCTGCCATCAGGTGGGCTTTGCTTTGCAGCAAAGTGGAGCAGAGTTTGAGCTGGGCAATGTTACCGTGACCACAGGGACTGTTCCTGAGCCGAGGAAGCAGCGGAGTTGTCCCAAACTCCTTTGTTATCTTCCACCCCTGGTAGATCAAAGGGTTGTAAATGGAGTTTGGGCTGAGGCTCCTTTTAGGAGCTCCTTTCTGGGAGCTTGGACGTAAATGACCTCTCTGTGCAGGCTTGTTGCTGGGAGGGAGGGGGTGCTGGGGAGCCTGGGCTCTGCTCCAAGCCTGCCCGGCCTTCCCGGGGATCCTGGGACCACCCAGCGCTCCGAGGTCCGGTGTTGGTGGACTCGCTGGACCCGGGTGAGTGCAGCAGAGCGAGGTCTGTGTGTGGGGGGTGGCAGTGACCGCCGGCCAGGGGACAGGGGGTGTGAAGGTGGTTGTTGTTTGCATCTCGTGCTGCAAATCAGCTGCTCGGCTTCACCGTTCGCTCACTGGAAGCTTCCCGGCAGAGTGGATGTTTCAGCAACACTCAGGCTCTGGGGGCTCTGATGTGGGAACTGCGCCCACATCATGTGGGGGGGCAGGACCCTTCCTAATTAGCCTGTCTGTGTTTTGAAGCATCGGCCAGCCCAGATCTCCTCTAGCTTGGCACAAAGGAGAGGTCGGCAGGCAGGGCTGTGATTAGTGTCTGTGCTCCGGGCCAGCTGAGATGGCTTTGTCACCCGCCGCTTCAGGAGACCGTTATTGTCTCTTTTACAGCACTGCCCTCATTTACACAGCCTTTGACGTGCCCTCGGGTTGTTTGACTGACTAATGACCCGATTTCTCCCGAGAACCTCCCCGAGCTGTGCAGCTGCAAGCCTCTGGGTGTGTTAGGGCTGGGAGAGAGGGGTTTGCTGGAGGCAATTGTCCCGGAGAAACACGGGACTGTGAAACACTCAAAGACGTTGGAAGTCATAATGGGAAGGGTTTAGACTCTGGAAGCAAAGGAAAGCACCTGTAGCCTTTTCTTGGGTCCAGAAGCCAGGTGTTCTTTCCGAGATGGAGACACACGTGTGACAGCCCTTGTTTGGACTTGGGTGACTTGCCCAGTCCAAGGAGACCCCAGTGCTGACTTCAAAATGATGGTAGCGAGATACTGTGTCCGATGTTTCCTGGGTTTGCAGTTCATGAGGCCAATTTAAAATCCATTTGTGGAATTAAATCACCGCAATTGTTCTTCAGCTGTCAGTTCATTGGAGAGAATCCACCGTCCATAATACCAGGGCTAAATTAAGCAGAGCACTTCTCCAACAGCCAAGAAGTCTGAATACTTTTATTTATAAGCAGCCTCCTGATTCACAAGGTTAGCCTTCTGCTGGGAGGGGAGAGGAGCCCGAGGCCAGAGGAGATTCCTGCTGGGATTTTCTTGTGTTTTGGCTCAGGAAGGCAGTGGAACAAGGGCGGTTTGTGCAGAGCTGGGCTGTGTCCTGTGCTATCGGCTTGTCCATCAGCCAAGTGCTCGGTATTTAATAGCTGGCAAACAGGTAGCGCCGAGCTCTTTGAAAAGGCCCGCGAGAGGAAACCAGCCAAGGCGATGGAGGGGCTTATTCAGTTAAAAAAACACCTTTTGTGAAGAGAGCGTGGAAGAAAAGAGAAAATGTGCTGGGGCCGGGGGAACAGCTGGGGCTGTGGCTGCAAAAGAAGTTTCCTGGGGCTCGTGTCTGGGGGGAGCTCAGGGTCCAGTGTCCCTCACTGAGACGTTCATCAAACATGGCACCGTCTCCAGTCTCCCACCTGGATGTAACTGCAGGGCAATTACTCCACGAGTAACTTCACAGTTCACGTGGTTTGTTTTCTGAAGGTGAACTGGAGTCCAGCAAACAGCCTTTTGGATGTGCACCCTCACGTGTAAAGTTGTCCAGCTCCGTGGGTGAGTGATGGAGCTTGTGGAGAGGCAGAAACGCTGCTGACCATTTGTTTAAAGGAACACGATAAGGGGTGAAACAGACTCAAAGCTGAAGGGCTTCAGTGGATTTGAAATACGGCTGGCTTTGTTCTTTTCCAGCTTTCCTTGGGTTGAACTCAAGAATTAAGGATTTTGTGATCATTTAAAAGAGATTATTATATTGGGTGAAAGAAAATATATGGCTCAAGTCCTTTGGATGAGTTGTAGCCCTCTGCTTAGGTTTTGGCAAGTAAGGAAAAGAGGAATCTTCTCACTGACATTGCACTGGTTTGAAACATCCACGTGGATCTTTGCTGTTCGTCACACTAAGATGTGTTGAGGGTAAAGAAAACCTGGAAGGAAATGGCTTGTTGTGCCACCTGGAGAAGAGAAAATCCCCACTTTGTTTTGGGGGATTGGTACCTCGGGCCAAGTCATGTGAGGTGCTGGATGACCTCTTCAAAGCGCTGCATTCCCTTCGGTGAGGACTGACCCCCCTCGGCACCTCCCGCATCGCCTCCTCCGTCCCGGCAGTGCCGGTCCCATGGCCGGGTGTCAGCCCCGGCTCTAATCCCCCGGGAGGATTTCCGTGCAGGTTTGCAGCCAGCTGTGACCAATTAGCAGGGCTTGTGGCTGGAAACCCCCCCCCGACTCGCAGAGCTGAGCGCGGGGTCCCGGGGCTTTGCGGCTTTGGGGGCGGTGAAACCTGCCCGGGGTGTTTTCTTCCCGAAAACCATCTGGTGAAAGCCAGGCTGTGAGCACGGAGGTGAGTCCAGGGACAGTTAGAGAGGAGAAGGGATTGTTTTCCAAGCAATGCAAAGCACTCCAGCCTAACAATGCACCACTGGGGATCCCGTCGTGTAATTGGCAATAAGAAGGATTTGATACACGAATGCCAAGTAAACTCAATTAATGCTGAATTCTTGGATTGTTTCTGGAGAGGGTGAGCCCATCCCCTGGTCAGGTAGCCAAGGGACATCCCAGCCTCACAATTCCTCACCAATTGCAGGTTTCTTGAAATGAGAGAGAACATGATCATGGTTGAAAGAGGCTTAACTCTTAAGGACTTCAGTGGATTCCCATAAGAGAAATGACACAGGGCAGCTTAACTCCCTGACTGTGATCAAATCCTCAAACCCTTTGGGCTGGAAAAGACCACTAAGATCATCAAGTCCAAACATTCACCGAATCTTCTGTTGTTTTCTGAGGATCTGCTG